GAACATGGATGCAAAAATTCTCACCAAAATACTAGCCAGTAGGATCCAAAGGATTATTCACCACAACCAAGTGGGATTTGTTCCTGGGCTGCAAGGTTGGTTCAACATCCACAAATCAATCAATGTGATACAATACATTAACAAAAGAAACAACAAGAACCATATGATTCTCTCAATAGATGCAATAAAAGCATTTGACAAAGTACAGCATCCTTTCTTGATTAAAATTCTTCACAGCATAGGGATAGAGGGTATATACCTCAATATCATAAAAGCCATCTATGAAAAACCCACAGTGAATATCATTCTCAATGGGGAAAAACTGAGAGCTTTCCCCCTAAGGTCAGGAACACGGCAGGGATGTCCACTATCACCACTGCTGTTCAACATAGTACTAGAAGTCCTAGCCACAGCCATCAGACAACAAAAAGAAATAAAATGCATCTGAATCGGCAAAGAAGTCAAATTCTCACTCTTTGCAGATGATATGATACTTTATGTGGAAAACCCAAAAGACTACACCCCCAAACTGTTAGAACTCATACAGGAATTCAGTAAAGTGGCAGGATATAAAATCAATGCGCAGAAATCAGTTGCATTTCTATACACCAACAACAAGACAGAAGAAAGAAATTAAGGACTCGATCCCATTTAAAATTGCACCAAAAACCACAAGATACCTAGGAATAAATCTAACAAAAGAGGCAAAGAATCTGTACTCAGGAAACTATAGAATACTCATGAGGGGCGCCTGGGTGGCTCAGTCGTTAAGCGTCTGCCTTCGGCTCAGGTCATGATCCCAGGGTCCTGGGATCGAGTCCCACATCAGGCTCTCTGCTCAGCGGGAGGCCTGCTTCTCTCTCTCCTACTCCCCCTGCTTGTGTTCCTGCTCTCATGCTCTCTCTCTCTGTCAAATTAATAAAAAAAATCTTTAAAAAAAATAGAATACTCATGAAAGAAATTGAGGAAGACACAAAGAAATGGGAAAACGTTCCATGCTCATGGATTAGAAGAACAAATATTGTGAAAATGTCTATGCTACCTAGAGCAATCTACACATTTAATGCAATCCGTAGCAAAATACCATCAACTTTTTTCAGAGAAATGGAACAAATAATCCTAAAATTTGTATGGAACCAGAAAAGACCCCAAATAGCCAAAGGGATATTGAAAAATAAAAGCAAAGCTGGTGGCATCATAATTCCGGACTTCAATCTCTATTACAAGGCTGTCATCATCAAGAAAGTATTGGCATAAAAACAGACACATAGATCAATGGAGCAGAATAGAGAACCCAGAAATGGACCCTCAACTCTACGGTTAACTAATCTTTGACAAAGCAGGAAAGAATATCCAATGGAAAAAAGACAGTCTCTTCAACAAATGGTGTTGGGAAAATTGGACAGCCACATGCAGAAGAATGAAACTGGACCATTTCCTCACACCACACACAAAAATAGAATCAAAATGGATGAAAGACCTAAATGTGAGACAGGAATCCATCAAAATCCTTGAGGAGAACACAGGCAGCAACCTCTTCGACCTCAGCTGCAGCAACTTCTTCCTAGAAACATTGGCAAAGGCAAGGGAAGCAAGGGCAAAAATGAACTATTGGGCCTTCATCAAGATAAAAAGCATTTGCACAGCAAAGGAAACAGTCAACAAAACCAAAAGACAACCAACAGAATGGGAGAAGATATTTGCAAATGACATATCAGATAAAGGGCTAGTATCCAAAATCTATAAAGAACTTATCAAACTCAACACCCAAAGAACAAAAAATCCAATCAAGAAGTGGGCAGAAGACATGAACAGACATTTCTGCAAAGAAGACATCCAAATAGCCAACAGACACATGAAAGAGTGCTCAACATCACTTGGCATCAGGGAAATACAAATCAAAACCTCAGTGAGATACCACTTCACACCAGTCAGAATGGCAAAAATTAACAAGTCAGGAAATGACAGCTGTTGGCGGGGATGTGGAGAAATGGAAACCCTCCTACACTGTTGGTGGGAATGCAAGCTAGTGCAGCCACTCTGGAAAACAGTATGGAGGTTCTTCAAAAAGTTGAAAATAGAGCTACCCTACGACCCAGCAATTGCACTACTGGGTCTTTACCCCAAAGATACAAATGTAGTAGTGATCCTAAGGGGCACGTGCACCCCAATGTTTATAGCAGCAATGTCCACAATAGCCAAACTATGGAAAGAGCTTAGATGTCCATCAACAGATGAATGAATAAAGAAGATGTGGTATATATATACAATGGAATATTATGCAGCCATGAAAAAAAAAATGAAATCTTGCCATTTGCAATGACGTGGATGGAACTAGAGGGTATTATGCTAAGCGAAATAAGTCAATCAGAGAAAGACAATTATCATATGATCTCACTGATATGTAGAATTTGAATAAGAAGGCAGAGGATCACAGGGGAAGGGAGGGAAAAATGAAACAAGAAGAAACCAGAGAGGGAGACAAACCATAAGAGCCTCTTAATCTCAGGAAACAAACTGAGGGTTGCTGGAGTGGAGGGGGGTGGGAGGGAGGGGTGGCTGGGTGATGGACATTGGGGAGGGTATGTGCTATGGTGAGCACTGTGAACTCTGTAAGACTGATGAATCACAGACCTGTACCCCTGAAACAAATAATACATTTTATGTTAATAAAAAAGAAATAAAAATATGCATGTGTAATCATTCTGTGGATTTCCATGTAGTCAGAGCTCAGGGCTGAGGAGGCTGGAATTCCTATGTACGCCTGATAGAAAATGGGATATGGGCACTGAAGAAGCCTCAGAAATCTGTGAGAAGTCACCAGGGTGTCTGGAAGAAAACTAACCTGTGCAGGTGCTGGGTGAGACTTCACAAGGCTGGGCGAAGAACTACTCCTGGGGCTGGGAACCCGCTCCAGGTTGCACAGGCCACACAGGGAGGGTAATATCAGAACCCTGAAGGAAACAAAAGCAGCAATGACTCCCCCTGTTGCTTGCACTCAGGCTGTCACCCCATCCTACTACCCCATAAGCGTTTCTCACCCTTTGAATTACCAAGTATTTTTCAATTTTCTGTTTTAAAAGAATTCACCATTGCTTTGGGTTGCTTTTTTGGACACCCCTGCAGGAAGACGCACCCGCATTGGAGGCCCTTGTCTGGAGCCAAGGGGTGGGGGGTAGGGGGGGTTGTCCCGGGTAGAGTCTTCCTTCAATGGACTCGGACTCAGGGGCAGGTGGGTCTTGGATGCAGCAGGGGCCCACGGGTAGGCTCTGCATGGGGCTCTCAAGGTTCACTGGCTAATTCTTTCCCTCCTCAAACAGACATACTTCAAGCCAGCAGGCCAGGTGATCTGAGGCCGAATCTGACAGGGGACAGGGTGGGCTGGGCACAGTGGGGGTGGCACTTCAGACCCATCCGGGCCAGGGGGCCCCAGGGAAGCTCAGTGGAGGGCAGGGGAGCGCGGGGGCCAAGGCACATACCTAGAGGGCGTGGGCACCTCCTCTGGGGGCCTCGGAGTCTCCATCCCAGGCCCCTGAGTCTGAGTTCCCCTTCTTACCCAAGGGGCCGAACCTGACTTTCACACGTGACCTCCAGAAGGCGCCCGCCCGGGGGGCTGCTCTCAGGGTTCCGGGGTAGGAAAGCCGGGGGCTGCGGGCGCGCGCGGAGGTTACTGTGTCGGGCTCCTCCCTGCAGGGCTAGACCCGAGCCGCCAGCGACGCGTCCGCGCGGCCCTTGGAGAGCCGAGTTCGCACCTGTCGCCCCCGAGGCCAAATCCCGACCTCTGCGGGCGACCCCAGGAGGCGCACATGAACCCGCCGGCCCTGATCCGGTCGGGTCCTGTGCCCCTGGGGAGCGGCTCCGAGACTGGGGAGGGGGCTCAGCACATTTCTCAGAGGGCGCTTCCCCAGGGAGGCCTCCCACCTCGCCCGCGACCACCCCGCTCAGCTGAGGGGTGCCTGTGTGGGGTTGAGCTTCCGCGAGAGGACCGTCGCCGGGCCCGCTCCCGCACACCTCCTGAGACAATGTCAGTACTCGCAGAGCAAACGCGGCCTCGGGACTCTGCGAACCTCGTGCCGAGGGCCCCTGGATGGGCCCGGGAAACCGTGGGAACTACGTTACCAATAATGCCCGGTGCCGCGTGCCCAGGATGCAGCCAATGAACGCGCAGAAACAGGTCGTTTCCGCTTGTGCACCAGAGAATCGGGGAGGGACTTCCGGCACCGCTGTCGTGCCAGTCACTTTGACCGCTCTCGCGCGCAGCGGCGCTGAGTCCTTTAGGAGCGTGAAGGTGCGCCCGTGGTGATGAGAACGAGAAATTGATAGGGGAAGGGTTGTCCCCACTGCACGGCAGCTGGCGTGAGGGTCGACGGCGGTGGTTGACAACTGTGCACGGGTCCCGTCTCTGTCGCCGGCTTCTTATGACCCCCGCTCCGCCCATACAGTCCGATGGCCGGGGCTACGCCCGGGAGCCCTGCTCAGGTGAACGCTCGTCCCCAGGGCTCTTCCCGCTCTCCCCCGACCAGATCCTAAAGGCCCGAGGGCGGGGCGCCTGCTCGCGTCCCTGCCGCCCAGGCCCCGGTGTTCGGGACAGTGGGGAGATCATGGGTGGCGTCCCCATATCTGAAAGCCAGTGTGATGAAGTGCGAGAATGTTACAGGCAGAGGGACCGGTTTGCTGGGGCGGTTGATCCAGCGAATGCTCCTGGAGAGTGCCAAGGTGAAGAGTTTTAACTTAATTCTCAGGATGCTGGGAGGCATGGAAGGTTGTGAATAGAAGAGACACAGGATCTGAGTTAGGCTTTTCAAAGTTTTCTAAAAGTTGCTCAGAGTTAGAACAGACTGGAAAAGGGATGATAACACCGAGGCACAGGGAGGTTGAGTCCTTGTCCAAGGTCACACAGCTGTAAGAGTCAGCCCTGGGGACCGAGGCTGAGAGATAATGCAGTCATCCCAGGTCACCTGGCTCCAGGGCTCGGCAGGGGTGCAGGGAGGCCTGAGCCTATGGAGCCCTGCAATGGTTACATCCCTCTGATGTCCCTCATCTTCTCACAGATTCCCATGACCAGCGAAGCGCTTATGGACTGTAGGAAGGTGAGTGAAGGATATTCCAGGCCCTCAACGGTCCTGATCCCAACCTTTGTCTCTGGGATTGTGTCCTGCGACTCTTTGCCTGCCACTCTTCCACTCTTCTTGGCCCAGGAGACCCTGAAGAAACTCCAAGCCCAGGGTCATAAATCCAGGCTGTAAGTTATATGGAGAGGTTCCTATTGCTGGCAACCAATACAGTGAGGTATAAAAGATTGTTCCAGACATAGGTATCAGAATATGTTCATGCTAGGAGGTGAGGATGAGTTTGTTCAGGGAACTGCAGTTCTCCCTTTTCCTTATCATGAGAGAGAAAGGAGAACTAAGAACAGGTGGGAAGGGGTCAGGCGTGGAATGGCTCCATGAAAAGTTGGGTGTCTCTTCTGGAAGTGGTGGGAAACATAGGTTTGGAACAGAGGGAGGTGATCTGACGCAGGTTTCATCAGGCTCCCTGTGGGTGCAGCCTGGAGAGGGAGAGCAGATACTGTTGGAGTTGGGAGGCGATGGGAAGAACAGGGAAGACGAAACTGCAATACTTCAGGTGAGAGTTGGTGGTTGTACCAGGGTAGTGGCTGTAGACCTGGGAGAGCCAGTTGGGTTCTGGATCAGTTTTTTAATTAGGGCCGCCCAGAATTTCAGATTTTGCGAATGAGAGAGAGAAAGGAAGAGAGTTTTAGGGCTCAGCAGCTAGAAGGATGGAAACTCCATTAACCAGGATATTAAAGTTGGTAGTAAGGTTAATTTTCACTGGGGACATCAGTTTTGTTTTTGGCTATCTTAAGACTTGGAGATGTTTCAAAGAAAAATGTGTGGAGAACAATTAGCAGATGGCCACACAGGTCTGGAACTCAGTAGGGAGACATTCAGAAGGTGGTGGACAATAAAGGTATTGGCTGCCCAGCAAGGGGAAGGTAAGAGCCGTGACTGGGTGTCATGCCTGGGCATCTGGGTGGGGTGCTCGGCCTCATAAACATAGCTGAGGGAGAGAAATGGTTTTGAGAAGGTTGTGGGAGACAGGGCAATCCGTCAGGTGGCCAAGGCATCCATAGGAAGCATAGACATAAGAGGAATGTGTCACAAGAATAATTGAGACAAGATGACACCGAGGCCCAGACTAGTGTTTATTCATGCTATGGACTTACCAGGAATTTATTGTGTCCCTTGGTGTATCTTAGGTGTTTCAGTTAGGCTGGCAAATTAGCACAGGGGCACAAGTCACCATCTAGGAGCATCACTGGGGTTGGGCTGGAAGACCTCCAGGGCTGGGCTCTGAAGGATGATTTGATGGAGAGGAAGGCAGTGGCTGATGAGGGAACATCAAGTGCACCACACCTGGAAGAGAGCCCTTGGGTCCTGAGATCTGCAGGTGGTTCTTGGTAGCTGGGATTGAAGCAAGAACTGAGCAGGGAGGCCTTCAAGCAGGTTTCATCCCCTTTGGCAGTGGGGACCATTGGAAGTCTGGGGTAGTACTGGATCCTGTTTGAATTTGCCAAATACCACCTGGATGCCATATGTGGGTAACATGTTGGGAGGACAGGGTGATGCTTCTGGGTAGGAGGGTAGAAGTGGCTTACAGAGTGAGACTGAAAGAGAGGTATGGTAGAAATAGTTACATGAAGAGAGAACATGAATGAAGGACCTAGGGCCATGACATTGATGACATAAGGTGGAAGGGTGAGCCCACATTTGGTTGTGCCTCAGAGGCACAATCTGGGGGACCCCCAATTGCCTGACATGAGGACATATGCCCTAATGCCAGGCTCAGTGTTTAGGTGGCATCTCCCTGCCCACATGCCTGTTGTTGTTGTGGGCAGTCACAATGATCGTGATACCTTGAGAAGAGAGCAGGTATCTCTGGCTCCAGGGGGGGCACTGGAAGGAGGGTGAGCAGGGGATGTATGTCTGGGTGAAGAAACTTGGGAGTCCTAGAAAAGAAACTGATCCAGGAATGATCTATCCCCATAATGGCAGGGCTGTGTGACCTTTGAGGATGTGGCCATTTACTTTTCACAGGAGTGGGTGCTCCTTGATGAGGCTCAGAGACACCTGTACCATGATGTGATGCTGGAGAACTTTGCACTTATAGCTTCATTGGGTAACACCTTCACACTCACCCTAGTGTCCTGGTTTTTGTCTCTCCTCTTTTACTTCACAGGAAGCTCTGCCCTTTCCACAGCTAGACCATGGATTCTGCGCACTTCCCCATTTTCTTGGCATATGTGTCATCAGGGTAGACCATAGTTGTGTGCGCACTGCACTGAGAAGACCTAAGTCCTGTTGCTCCAAGCATTCGGGAATGGTCTGGGATTCAGGAGTCTTGCAGTCAGCCTAATGCACCTTACCTTGTTTGTCCTCTCCCTGGCAGGATGACTCGTCCGGATCCATGGCACCGGATCCATGTTCCGAGTTCTACATTACTGATTGAATCAGTGGTTTGAATATTGATGTTGGAGATGGGGTCCTTATGGATGGGACTACAACATTAAGGTTATAGTAATCCACCAGGAGGTACCCTTTAATTTTTCCAGATTCAAGAACAGGCACAATCAGGTTGTAGGATAGAGAAGTAGTGAGGATAATCACCCTTTTATTTATTAGATTTTTTAAAAAGATTTTATTTATTTATTTGACAGAGAGAGACACAGCGAGAGAGGGAACACAAGCAGGGGGAGTGGGAGAGGGAGAAGCTGGCTTCCCGTGGAGCAGGGAGCCTGATGAGGGGCTTGATCTCAGGACCCTGAGATCATGACCTGAGCCGAAGGCAGATGCTTAACGACTGAGCCACTCAGGCACCCCATTTATTAGATTTTATATAACAAGTTTTAATCCTTGGAGGCCCTGTTTTAACTTACATTGGTGATATTAACTATTTTTCCTGGGGCGGAGGTGGGGGACTGTGGAATCCTATTTTATTAACCCAATCTGTGTCAAAGACCTACATTAATTTTAAGTGCATTATTCTTCATGCTACAGCATCTGTGCCCAATATGGGATATTTTGGGGTGTTATGACATTGGGAAATTTAGGCAAGGCTATAGTTCAAATGAGGCATATTTATTTTTCTGTTTTATATCTGAGTATACAAGTACAGTGTGTAAAAGTACTGGGATTCCCCAGATGATTTGAGCCCCAGTAATGATTATGTTTCTGAGGTTTGGGCTTTGGTGCCTTTTAGTAAATGATGTTTAACCACTTTATTGAGGAATTATTGACATGTAAAAAGCTGTAGATATTTCTCGGATACAATTTGATGGGTTCAGGATAAGTATACACCATAAAACCATTACCACCATAAAAGCCATAAATATATCCATCACCTAAGTTTCCTCCTATCCCTTTATTATTATTATTATCATTTGTGTGTGTGGTAAGAACACTTAACATAAGATTTACCCTCTTAGCATATTTTAAGTGTACAGTAGTCCCCCCTTATCCATGGTTTCTCTTTCCGTGGTTTCAGTTATCCACAGTCCACCGCAGTCTGGAAGTAGATGATCCTCCTTCTGATGTATCGTCAGAAGGTCAGTAGTAGCCTCATGCTAAGTCACAATGCCTACGTCATTCACCTCACTTCATCTTATCACATAGGCATTTTATCATCTCACATCATTATAAGAAGGTATAGTACAGTAAGAAATTTTGAGATGACATTCACATAACTTTTATTACAGTATATTGTTATAATTGTTCTATTTTATTATTAGCTATTCTTGTTAATCTCTTACTGTGCCTAATTTATAAATTAAACTTTATCATAGGTATGTACACAAAAAAGTAATATTTATAGGGTTCAGTACTATCTGCAGTTTATCTGCTAGGGGTCTTGGAATGTATCCCTCATGGATAAGGAAGAACTACTGCACATTACAGTATTGTTAGCCATAGGCTGCTGTATGGTAGGTCTCCAGGGCTTATTCATCTCAATAATTGAAATCTTATACCACCACTTTTAACCATCACTTCCCCATTTCCTCTTTACCCTAGCCCCTGCAAAGGCCCCCTTGTCAGGGTTAGTTGATCTTATATTTATGGGTTTATTTCTGTGCTGTCTATTCTGTTCTGTTGGTCTATAATGTTTTGATTACTATAGCTTTGTAATATAATTTGAAATCAGGAGGTGTGATGTTCCCAGCTTTGTTCTTCTTGCTCAAGAATGCCTTGGCTATTCCGGGTCTTTCATGGTTCTGTGTTAATTTTAGGATTGTTTTTCTACTTCTGTGAAAAATGCCCTTGGTATTTGAATCTGTAGATTGTGTTGGGTCATATGGAGGCTTTAAGAATATTAATTCTTCCAATCTATGAACAAAGCCTATTTTTCCATTTATTTGTATCTTTAATTTCTTTCATCAGTGTTTTATAATTCTCAGTGTATAGACCTTTCACCTCTTTGGTTAAATTTATTCCCAAGCATTTTATTCTTTTTGAAGCTATTGTAAAAGAGATTGTTTCTTCTTTTTTTTTCACAGTTCATTGTTAGTATATAAAAATGCAGCTGATTTTTCTATGTTGATTTTGTATCCTGCAACTTTACTGAATTCATTTATTCTAACAGGCTTTGGGTGCAGTCTTTGGGTTTTCTGTGTAAAAGATTATGTTATTCACAAATAGAGACAATTTTATTTCTTCTTTTCCCATTTGCATGCTCTTTATTTCTTTTTCTTGCCCAATTACTCTGGCTAGGATTTCCAGTACTATGCTGAATAGAAGTGGCAAGAGGGGTCATCCTTGTCTTGTTCCTGATCTTAGCCAAAAGACTTTCAGCTTTTCACCATTGAGTATGATGTTGGCTGTGGGCCTATCATATATGACTTTTATCATGTTGAGGTACATTCCTTCTATACCTAATTTGTTGAGAGTTTTTATCATGAAAGCATGTTGAATTTTGTCACATGCTTTTCTCTCTATTGAGGTGATATGATTTTTATCCTTCATTTTGTTAATGTGGTATATCACATTTATTGATTTGTGTTTATTGAACCATCTTTGCATTCCAGAGAGAAATCCCAGTTGGACATAGTGTATTATTTATTTATTTATTTTTTAAAGATTTTATTTATTTGACAGAGAAAGACACAGTGAGAGAGGGAACACAAGCAGGGGGAGTGGGAGAGGGAGAAGCAGGCTTCCCGCTGAGCAGGGAGCCCGATGCAGGGCTCGATCCCAGGACCCTGGGATCATGACCTGAGCCGAAGGCAGATGCTCAACAACTGAGCCACCCAGGCACCCTGGTGTATGATCCTTTTAATGTACTGTTGAATTTGGTTTACTAGTATTTTGTTGAGGATTTTTGCATCTAGGTTCATCAGGGATATTGACCTATAATTTTCTTGTGTTGTAGTATCTTTACCTGGCTTTGGTCTGAGGGTAATGCTGGCCTTGTAAAATGAATTAAGACGTGTTCCCTCCTCTTCAGTTTTTTGGAAGAGTTTGAGGAGGAATGACATTAAATGTTTCATAGAATTCATCAGTAAAGCCATCAAATCCTATGCTTTTCTTTTGGGGGAAAGTTGTTTTTGTTTTGTTGTTTTTTTTTTTAAGATTTTATTTATTTGGCAGAGAGGGCACAAGCAGAGGGAGAAGCAGGCTCCCGTGGAGCAGGGAGCCCGATGTGGGGCTCAATCCCAGGACCCTGAGATCTGGACCTGAGCCGAAGGCGGACGCTTAACTGACTGAGCCACCCAGGTGCCCTGTTTTTTGTTTTTAAGGGGAAATTTTTGATTACTCACTCAAATGTCCTTACTCATTATTGGTTTGTTCAGATTTCCTATTTCTTCATGGTTGTATGTTTCTGGGAATTTTTCCTTTTCTTCTAGGTTATCCAGTTTGTTGATGTACAGAGGTTAACAGTAGTTTCTTATGATCCTTATATTACTGTGGTATCAATTATAATGTCCTCTCTTTCATTTCTAGTTTTATTTGAGTCTTTTTTTCCATAGTCTAAAGGTCTGTCAATTTTATCTTTAAGAAAACAAAACATCTTAGCTTTGATCTTTTCTATTGTTCTTCTAGACTTATTTCCACTTTGACCTTTATTATTTCCATCCTTCTGCTAACATCAGGCTTAGTTCTTTTCTAGTTCCTTAAGATGTGAAGGTAGAATGTTTACTTAGGATCTTTCATTTTTTCTTGATGTCAATATGTATCTGCTATAGCCTTCCCTCTTAGAACTGCTTTTGCTGGATCCCATAAATTTTGGTTATATTGTTTATTTTCATTTATCTCAAGATATTTTTTGATTTCCCTTTTGATTTCATCTTTGACTTATTGGTTGTTCAAGAGTGTGTTCTTTAATTCCCACTTATTTGTGAATTTTCCAGTTATCCTCCTGTTACTAATTTCTACTTTTCATTGCATTTGGTCAGGAAAGATACTTATATGATTTCAGATTTCTTAAATTTGTTAAGACTTGTTTTGTAGCCTACCATATGATCTATCCTGGTTACTCTCCCCTGCATTCTTGAGTAGAATATGTATTCTGCTGCTGTTCAATGGAATGTTCTGTATATGTGTGTTAGCTCCCTTTGGTCTGTAGTGTTGTTCAGGTCGTTGTCTCCTCTACCATCAAGGTTTTAAAAGATGTGAAAACATCATATTATACAGATAGCTGAAAAAAAAGCATGATGAATACTCTTCCACATAGTCAGAATGATTCATCAGTATTTCTCTTCTTTCAGTTTGTTGGCATGGGATGGAGGATGAAGAGGCACCTTTTGAACAGAGCGTTTCTGGAGAAGTTTTGTCATGGGTCAGGACTCCAAAGGCAGGTCCACCCACCCAGAAGACTCACCCCTGTGAGAAATGTGTCCCAATCCTGAAAGACATTTTGCACCTGGCTGATCAACCTGGGTAGAAACTATACTTGGATGGAGCATGTGCAAACCTACACCAGCTTCAGAAGCATTACACTGCAGAGCAAAGGGATGTAGAGAGGGCCTCATTTGTTAAGAGCTGCATATTCCTGTGTCAGGGAATCCCTTCACCTGTAGGAAGATTGGAAAGGAGTTCCCAGCCACATGGAGCTTTCCCCAGCACCAAGTCATTTTCAACAGTGAGAAGCCAAACAAAATCACCAAGTGTGGGGAGGCCTTTCATAGTGGAAGAAGTCATTACAAATCACATGATGGGAAAGCCTCCAACCACAAACGAAGTCTTGTTTATCACCCAAGAGTCTCCACTAGAAAAAGGGTTTATGAGACCATCAAATATGGGAAAGCTTTTCGCTGCAAGTACTCACTTGTTCAGCTCCAGAGAGTCCACACTGGAGAAAGGCCTTACAAGTGCAGTGAATGTGGAAAATCTTTTAGGCAAAGAGCCACCCTCATTATACACCAGAGAGTTCACACTGGAGAAAAGCCTTATACGTGTGGTGAATGTGGGAAATCCTTTAGTCAAGGCTCCAACTTACTGAACACTGCAGAATCCATAGTGGAGAAAGGCCTTATGAGTGTGAGGAATGTGGGAAAGCCTTTGGGTGCAAATCCAATCTCATAAGGCACCAGAGAACTCACACTGGAGAAAAGCCTTATGAGTGCAGTAAATGTGGAAAATTCTTAAGACAAAGCTTCACCCTCATTGAACATCAGAGAATTCACACCACAGTAAGGCCTTATGTGTGTGTCCGGTGTAGGAAATCCTTTAGCCAAAGAGCTACTCTCATTAGACACCAGAGAGTTCACACTAGTGAAAGGTTTTATGAGTGTGGGGAATGTGGGAAAGCTTTTGGATCCAAATCCAAACTTGATCGGCACAATAGAAGTCACACTGGAGAAAGGCCTTATGAATGCACTGAATGTGGGATCCCTTTTAGACAAAGCTACAGCCTTGTTGAACACAAGCAAATTCACAGTAGAGCAAGGCCTTTTGAGTGTGGCCAGTGTGGGAAATGCTTTAGCAGAAGAGCTATTTTCACTAAACACCAAAGAATTCACACTGGAGAAAGGCCTTATAAGTGTGGCGAATGTGGGAAATCCTTTAGTCGAAGCACCAGCCTTATTCAGCACTGCAGCATTCACACAGGAGCAAGGCCTCATGAGTGTGGCCAATGTGGAAAATCCTTTAGGCAAAAATCTGTTCTCATTCAATACCAGCTAGTTCACACTGGAGAAAGGCCTTATGAATGCAGCAAATGTGGCAAATCCTTTAGCCAATGCTCCAGCCTCAATCTCCACCGTAAATTTCACACCCTGAAGAGGGCCCGTGAATGCAGGAAATATGGGAAATCCTTCACTGCAACATCTGATGTTGTTTAGCATCAGAAAGTCCACACTTGAAAATAGGCTTAGATTTGAAGAGAACATGCTGTCTCCTTGTTCACTCTAATGGCACAAATAGTTTGTGTGAGGGAGCCATGTGCCTGAAGTTAAACCTCGTACTTGCAAGCAACTGGAGGGGTGAAATTCCCCATGAGTTTATAGGCATGTGTGAGGTTTACAGGAGCTTCACTGCACATTCCAAACCACCCAGGACTCTTACCAGAGTTAGATCACTGCCAGTTTCTCTAGTAGAAGCCATCCCACTTCCATTACCTTGTACAGTGTTTCATTGGTCACTCCAATGTGCCTAAGGCAAGGCAGATGTTTGTGTTCTCTCCCGTTCCCTGGAGGAAATCTTGAGTAGTCTTTGCTCTTACAGTGATTTCCCTTTTCTGATTAAGTAGGAATATGACCCAGTTTGGGCTAAGAATGGGCTCTGCTGGAGGCTTGCAGGGAAGGCTTACCTTCTTCATGGAAATTGTTGGTTTCACCTAACACTTGTAGTTGATTTTTCCAGCCTTCAGGTCACCAACCAGTAACGATCTGCCTCATTGCTCTGGTTTGTGCAGCAATAAAGTTCTTATTGTTTAATCTATCTTTAGTCATGGGAGTTGTAGTCACTGTTTTGGGTGGAACACACAATCGTGCTTGTGTAGGGGCCCCAACTTTGTGCAGCTCAGTGTGGACAATACAATGATAGATAGTAGTTCTCATTCCAGTTTTGGCCTAATTTGCATTGCTGCATAAGACCTAGGAACAAGTTCAGTGCTTCGTGGTCCTAATTTGTGGCCTAGATGCCTCCATCTATTGTGAGACCATAGGACACCCTAAGGAAGGGTCCCTTTTTTTGGCAAGCTCTGGTGCCTTTAGGAATGGCATGGATTTATTCTCTTGCTCCCAGAGGGTGTCACGTGATGCCCAGCGCTATTGAGGGAAAGATTTTCACCAGGTTCTACAAAGCAGCAAAGTGTCCTGATGTTTATAATTCTGAAGACTGGTATCACTCCTCAGACTACAGGAGCCGGTTTCAACCATAATTGTACTGATATCCTGGATGTGATTAATAGGCAGGGGAGAGGCCTGCAGCAAACTAGATGATATATGCCTCTTCTGAAAGTGCATCCATAAATCTTCCGTTGACTATGGTTGTGAGGAATTAGAGTACTTCTAGAGCTGTATATCTCCTGTAGCTGAAATCACTGTCAGAGCAAATAACCTAAAGATTTTGTGAATTCTCATTGTCTTCCTGGGCTGTTCACCTCAGTGGCCATCCATTGCTCTAAAGAAGGCAGAGAAATGAAGACAGAGAATGGAGATCATGTTGTCCCAGGATGTGGCTTTTGTAGTCCAGCCAGTGTTCCATTTGTCCCAGACTGGAAGAGCTTCCATTGCTCACCAGTTTTTCCTGTACAGATTCAGGGCTGCTCTTCCTCAGGAATAAGGAAAAATAGAGTGGAGTCAGTACTGGGTTGTTAAGCCTTCTCGTTTACAAAAAGTGGGTGATTCTGATTTTTTATTTTGAACTTTTTGGGGGGAGTTTATTGAGGCATAATTGACATGCAATAATCTATACATATTTAAGGTGAACAATTGAAAATTTTTGTTATACATTTAAACCCATAAAACCATCATCATCATCATGAACAACCATGATGTACCTCATGCTTTTTTATAATCTCTCCTTGTCTTTTCCAGTGATTTACTTTCTTTAAAAACTGTCTAGAACTTACATGAATTGAGTCATAAAGTGTGTACTCTTTTCTGATATTTTCCACACTGCATAATTATTTTGAGATTCCCCAATGTTGCTTATATGAATGTTTATTCTTCTTATTGTTGAGTAGTATTCTTCTCTACGGATATGCCACTATTTGTTTTATCCATTCAGCTGTTAATGGGCAGTTGGGTTGTTTCAAGTTTAGTGCTGTTAGAAATAAAGCTTCAGTGAACATAGGCATATGATTCTTTATGTGAATATGTGTTTTGTTTCTCTTGTACCAATACTTCAGAGAATGTGAATGTTTAAATATTTAAGAAACTGCCAAACTGTGATCTAAGCTGGTTATACCCATCTGTGTTCCCACCCACAGTATATGAGCTTCTGTTCCTCCACATTTTGCCAATACTTCATATTGTCAGTCTTTTTAAATTTTAGCTGTTTTAATAGAGGTGTAATAGCATTTCACTATAGTTTTAATTGCAGTTTTTTGATGTTTCATAATGTTGAGCATTTTTTTATGTTTATTTGCCTCTTGTTATCTTCTTTAATTTGCTTATTTTAAAATGGATGTTGGTTGATACTTTTCTTTTTTGTTTTTTTTTGTTTTTTTTTTAAAGTTTTTTTTTTCTTATTTGAGAGAGAGAGAATGAGAGATAGCACGAGAGGGAAGAGGGTCAGAGGGAGAAGCAGACTCCCTGCTGAGCAGGGAGCCCGATGCGGGACTCGATCCCGGGACTCCAGGATCATGACCTGAGCCGAAGGCAGTCGCTTAACCAACTGAGCCACCCAGGCGCCCGATACTTTTCATTAATAAATAAAAAGACATATTTTGGAACTGCACTCATTTTTCAGCAATGATGTGTCCTCTGCCAAATGGAAATATTGTTTTTGACTTCTATAAGAATGTCTTCTCAATTTCTTTTGTGCTATTCACAGTGTAACATTCACAGAGGCTATATAATTTTGAGCATTATCTACATTCTTAACATATTCTCCATCGTTTTCTGGTCTAGACATTCAATAAACAAGCCCGGTATTGGAGTGTTTGTCAGTTTCTCTCATGTGTATACTCCCATCCTAGTCAATTTCAGGTTGCCAAAATGATGTCACTGAACATGGATTTGGGAAGAAATATGCAGTAGCACAACATTGTATTCTATATCCACCATACAGATAACAGTAGTCATCAATGACCTCAGGATATATATGAGTAAGGCATAGTAAAAATTTGGAAGTGACAATTTTTGAGTATTTATTATATTTACATTTTTTAAAGATTTTATTTAATTTGTGAGAGAGCACAAGCAGGGGGAGTGGCAGGCAGAGGGATAAGCAGGCTCCACACTGAGCAAGGAGCCCGATGTGGGACTTGATCCCAGGATTCTGGGATCATGACCTGAGCCAAAGGCAGACACTTAGCCGACTGAGCCACCCAGACATTCTTAATTACATTTACTTAAAAAAAAAATAGCTGTATTTAAGTACAATTGTCTTATAATATATTATGCATATTTAAAGTGTACAACTTGTGTTTTGATACATGCTTACCCCCTGAAACCAAATGTTCTGCCCATTTTAATGCATTCTTTGTAAATGATAGACATATTTGCCCTTTGCAATGAATATTTTCAAATATATACATAAAAGGAAATGTGTCATGAAGCCTCATGAGTCCAACCCTAGTCTTTCAACACTGATCAATTCTTGGATGTTTTTGTTTCCTCTATCCCCACTCATATTACTAGATTATTTTACTTGTAATCCAACATCTTGTTCAATGCCTAATCTCTTCAGAGTACATTTCCAAAATGTAAGGACTCTTTTGTAATCCTAATAACTTTTTTAACAAAATATTTGAAGTATCATAAGATATATTGTCAGTGCTCTGTTCTCTCAGTTTTCCTAAACTGTTTGTTCTTTAAGACAATCAGATCCAAAATGGATATATATGACCTTTAGTAGATGTGTTTAGTCCCTACTAACTTAAAACCACTTCATCGTCTAATTCTTAGACCATCTGTTGAAGTTTCCTAGTCATTTGTCAGAATTTGCTGTTCTGGATTTGTCAGGAACTTCCTGAGCTTCAGAAAGAAACAGAAATCAGATCCAGGAGGCACAGAGAGACCCCAACAAAATCAACCCAAGGAGGTACACATCAAAATGCATAGTATTTAAAATGGCAAAAGGTAGTGATAAAGAATTTTTAAAACAACAAGAGAAAAGAAAACAGTTACATACAAGGGAAATCCCATAAGTCTATCAGCTGATTTTTTAGCAGAAGCTTTGCAGGCCAGAAGGGGTGGCATGATATATTTAAAGTGCTGAAAGAAAAAACCTGAACCAAGAAAAGTCTACCAAACAAGGCTATCATTCAGAATGGAAGGACAGATAAAGAGTTTCCCAGACAAACAAAAGTTAAAGAAATTCATCACCACTAAACCAGCCTTACAAGAAATGTTAAAGGGGGTAGAAAGAAGCAAGAGTAAGAAAAGTAGGAAGCACAAAAGCTGTAAAATTAAGTATATCTATAAAAACCATCAAGGGATTCACAAAATAAAAGGATGTAAAGTATGATACCATACACCTAAAACATGGGGGTGGTGAGTAAAAATTTAGTGTTTTTAGAATGCGTTCAAACTTAAATGACCATCAACTTAATTTAGACTGCTATATGCATAAGATGTTATATATAAAACTAATGGTAACCACAAATCAAATACTGGTAGTAGATATGCAAAAAGTAAAGAGAAAGGGATCCAAGTATATCACTAAAGAAAGCCAGCAAACGGGCGCCTGGGTGGCTCAGTCAGTTAAGCGTCTGCCTTTGGCTCGGGTCATGATCTTGGGGTCCTGGGATCGAGCCCCGCACCGGGCTCCTTGTTCAGCAGAAGCCTGTTTCTCCCTCCCCCACTCCCCCTGATGGTGTTCCCTCTCTCACTGTCTCTCTCTTCCTGTCAAATAATAAATAAAAATCTTAAAAAAAAAAGAAAGCCAGCAAACCATGAGAGAAGAAAGGAACAGAGAAAAACAACAAAACAACTATAAAACAAGTAACAAAATGGGAATAAGTACATACATATCAGTAATTACTTTGAATGTAAATGGATTAAAATGTTCCAATCAAAAGTAGGGTGACAGAATGGATTAAAAAGTAAGAGCCAGGGGCGCCTGGGTGGCTCAGTCATTAAG